CTGTTTACAATGCTATAAAACCAAATTCTGAGGTCTCTGTGCAAACCAAATATTGACTTTTAAGGGTCATGGAGCAACTATTGACCCAAATTGGCATGCAAGGAATTACACAGCTGAATCTAGATATGGGATCTGTGTCACAGCTTAGCTTCACCAAAGTACTTAAAAGAACTTGCAGCCATAACTGCATGAAAGCACAGATTCCCAGCCTGTCAGGAGATTTGTGCTCTAGACACACTGCTGATATTGTCTGGGTCTCCCTCTGCACAGAGAGCTGGCTCACATGGAGGCACCAAGGGTAGAAATTTAAACAGAGTATCCGGAGACTATCAGGAGCCAAATCCCACTGGGTCAGGCCCAGAAGGATTCTGCAGTGCGCTATGGCAGGTAAATATGCACACAATACACATTTTATTTTAAAGTCTGAGACAAGTCCTGCCCCACTGAGATCAGTGTTGGTTGATTCCACATCATTGAATACGAGTGCCCCAATGTTCACCACCTTGTGCACCGGTGTCACCCATATTACATCTGCTCTCCACAATTACCTGAAGCCACGTGGGGGGCAGTCTCTTCTCCCAGTGAACAACAGAACAAGAGGAAATGGCCTCAAGTTGCACCAGGGGAGGTTTAGATTAGATATCAGGAAAAATTGCTTTACTGAAGAGGTGATCAAGTACTGGAACAGGCTGCTCAAGGAAGTGATGGAATCACCATTCCTGGAAGTGTTCAAAAAACATGTAAATGTGGCACTTAAGGACGTGGTTTAGTGGTGGTTTTAGCTTGGCAGTGCTGGGTTAATGCTTGCACTTATTGATCTTCCTCAGCTTTAATGTTTCCGTAATGTTTCTATGAATACCTTATATATAAACCCCCAGACATTTGTATGTGTAAATATATTTGCATATCTATATATATACACACATGCATAAATACATATTCAGCTGACTGCACTGGGGTTTCTTCTGAGATAGCCATGTTTTCTGATAGAGCCATGTTCACTGGAAGAATCATGATGATACCACTTCTTTCTGATTGTTACTGGACAATTGAAATGCTGATGATAATGGATAAGAGCAAAGAGGGGAATATATGTATTTCCTGCTTTAAAAGAGTCAGCCTCATGAAGTACAGAAGTAAGGGAGAAAACTTATTTTGAGCTTGTGAATGGCAGTTAGGAAACTATTTAAAATTATTGCTAGATACTTGCAAAGACATCATTGAATAAAGTAGGTGATTGATTTATATTGATTTTGAGAAAGAAGGTCCTGACTAAAAAAAATGCAGCTGGAATTCAGATGGAAATTCTTCTTTTAATTATTTAATAATATTTTAACATTATAAAGCTAATTAAGTTTAATAAAAGCATAAATGTCAAAGAGTATGAAGGAAACACTGATTTGAATGAATATAAATCCAAAAGGAATGACAAGTATGTGATAAAATATGCAAAACGAAAAAAAATAATGGACAGATGTTCAAAGACAATATTGTTTTATGTAAATTGAGACTAAAAGATCATTAATGGTAGAATTCTGTTACTTGATAGAAGTTGTGGAATTGTCAGTAAACAAAACAGGTAACAGCCAGGTTCAACAGTCATCTTTGTTCTATATTGAAAAAATAGATATCTCTTCTCATAGAGATAACTAATAGTATCATTGACATAACTAATAGTAATTAATCTTCAGTATCCCAAAACTGCTCTAGAAGCTATACATTTTAAAATTCTTATATGTTTATTTGACATGTATACAAGATCTTTAAAATAACTTTCTGGAAGGTAATATCAGTATTCTCTGTCATCAGTTCCCAGGAGACTGGCTGGGAGGCAGGGACTGTTCTCATGCAGCACTAGACACCTCTTTGAGAGCTTTCACCTCTGAGCTGGTCATCCTACATTCCTTTTACAGTCAACTGAGAGAAAGAGGCATTTCTAGAATGAAATTCATCTGACTAAAAGCTGACATCTATGTTCGGTTAAAATAATCCCATCCTAATGTGGTATCCACATTTTTTTAGAAAACCAAACAGATGCCCAAGCTTTCTCCAATCTGCCTGCAAGGCCTTGGTCCTGGCTCTCCTTGCAATGCAGGGGAAGAGACCATGTCCTTGGAGGAGTAAGCAAGGTCATCTTGTAGGACTGAGCCTTTGACATGAGTATCCCTCCAGTGGGAAAGCTGAGCTGAGAACTGAATGTTCTACCACTAGAGTTCAGGCAAATATCGATGCATTGAAAACGTTCAGGGAAGAGTTATGAACCTTCCTTGATGCCCTACAAATCAGTGGAAGACTCAGAGGTCATGGTAAGCATTATTTATTTTCACTGTGTAAAAATTCACCCATGGCTTTAATAAATATGCAAAAAAAATACATACAAATGTAGGGGGCAAGTACTAAAACCAAGATAATAATAAGTAGGATTTTGTATTAATGTCATTCCTATTATGTAAGCTGCCTTCTGCAAGTGTCTGTCTATCCTGACTTTAGCTGACTCTAAAGAGACCAAGGGTGTTTCAACTACTAATTCAGACATATCTATTTATACTGTAAAGGGTGGTTTGGGCTGAAAGTGGTATTTAAACAGCACGGCAAAATCTTGCACCTTTAAAATCAAAAGTATGATTAAAGAATTGGGCAAAATGCCTTACAATAAGAAACTCAGGAAATTGAATCTATTTTGGTTACTAAAAAAGGACAAAAGGTAACTTAATCACAGCCTGACATAACCTACAGGGTTAGTCTCAATAATGACTTCTCAACCTGTCCAGTAAAGGTAGAACAAAAGTCAGTGGCTGGAAGCTGAGGATAACTCAGACTAGAAACCAAATGTAATTATTGGCAGTGACAATAAATAATAATTGTAAGGGAGCCTGCTGATCCTTTAACTAAAGAACTCTCAAAATCAAATTTATAAAAAAATATGCTGCAAGTCAGGCAATCAATAATTGAGGAAGGAATACACCTTTTTCTGTGCCAGATTCAGGCAAGTGTCTCACACTGCCCAGTAATCCAAGAATCTATAAATCCACTAGTTCTATCCAGAAATTTTCCTATTCTGATCTGTTTAAAAATAATGATAGCTACATGCTTATCATGGTGACATTGAATCACTGTTATATGCATAAGGTTCAAAGCAGGTTAATTACCATTTTTTCCAACTCCAGCCTCTCATATGATTAGCCACTGCTTCTCACAGCTCTCTTGTTTTCAAAACTAATTCCCATTATCTAAAAGACTTTCCAAAGCAAACATAGGAGTGTAGCACTTTCTAATATTTATTTTGAATTCTCAAATAAGAGGCAATAGTGGTAGGAGGTTTTTTGGGGGTGAGAAGTTCTTCTACAAAGTTACTTGTGTCCACTGTAGTTTTACCTAGTCCAAGGACTAGGTTCATGGGCCAAGGGTTGTGCTTTGTAATTTCTGAATATGCAGTAGGTCGTTTATTTCATGGGAATTAGGTAAAGGCCTTATTCTAGCAGCAGCAAACTCTGCTTCAGCACCTAACTACAGCAGGAGATGGCAGATGAAAAGGGGTTTCATATGCTGAGACAAAGATGCATAGTTTTTAAGGTCACTATGATTCTCCCTCTAGCCTTCTTCCCTAGATAATTTGGAAACAAAATAAACTCCAATCAAAACCTTCTCCCATGGAAGCCTGCCTCTTACTTTGATGTGTTTGACTGCATGGGGAGCACCCATCACCCATTCCCTGTTCTAGGGAAAGTAAACTTGGCAGTGCTGGGAACAGCCTGGTGGACATGTGCAGCACACCGTGTGCGTTCACAGCATTATCACCCACCCAGATTAGCAGCTGAGCACTGCTGGGTGCAGACACCAATGCCTGCAGGTAAATATGGGCTTTGTATGATATGGTTGAGTTGCTGACTCCATTGCAGGCTCCTTGACTGACCTTGGGACTGGAGCACTGTCTGCCTCTGTGTTTGAAAAGTTAAGATAATATTACTTGTCTGCCTCACAAGGATATTGTGAGTTTAGAGACACTGTTTATTCAAGCTAGATGTAGAGTGTTACAGCAATGAGAGCTCTGTAAATACCTACGCTCACAAAACCTCAGTTAAAGCACCATCTTGCTAGAGGAAAGCACATTAATGCCCATCAATCTCTGCAGTGTCCCAGGACAGCTCACACACAGCTTCCCCTCTGTCTGAGGTAAAGAAACTCCATTGGGGACAGAGCCTCAGAGGGGAAACACGCAGTGAGCGAGCACAGAGCACTTCACAGCACGGGTTTTGCTGTGATTTACAGTCCTGTGCTGGGTAAGGAGCAATAGCTGAGGGGAGGCTTGTGCCATTAGTCGCAGTCTTGTTGACCAATGGAGCTGGGGAATGATGGGGAACAGCAAAGGCCCCGAGGGGCTCTCAGGCCTGGCTGCCTGTGACAGACACCCTCAGGAGCACATGGACATGCCACCTGCTGCGTGCACACAGGAGGAGGTTGCTTAACCAGGGCTTTTCAAATATTTTCAAAGTGCTTTACAAAGAATTCATTAATAGATGACATATTTTTGCTAAAGGCACAACCAGCTCAACTAGATTTTATTACAGGTGTAAATAATATCAAGGGAATTTAAGCGTGAGTCTTGTTTCTCTACTCTTAATCCCTACTCCTGCTGACATATTAAAGGTCTGCTTAATCACCCAGCCCTTTCCTCCCAAATTCACAAATGTTTCATCCACACTTACTTATTTTACAGGGATTTATACAAATGCCAGGAGGTACCTAGCAGTGCCCTACACGTTTCATGGCCCCAATGAAAAAACAAACAATGCTACAGCCCAGATGTGACCTAGTGGTGCAGTTTAACCCATTGAGAAGACAAAACAGCAGCTTAGAAAGCCACCCCGGATATTTTTAACTACACAGTGGAAGAGCTGAGCACTTAGGGCTGGAAAAAGGCCAGAAGTGAGGGGAAGATTGCGGCACGGGGCTCAGTCTCCCCTATCCCTGTGGAGCCGAACATGGGGAGCCCCTGGGACCTACACTCGCGGTGGGAGCTCAGGGGGTAATGACGATGTCTCCCAGGGGCACTGCCCACACGGGACAGGAGGGGGGACCTGCTGTGGGGAGACGAGACACGGACGGGTATTCCCGGGGGTTTCTGAGGGGAATGCAGGCAGTGGGTCACCAAGGACAAGGGACCCTGCGCGGAGCGGTGAGATGGAGCCTGCGCAAGTGCGCTCCTCGGGCTTGGGGTGAGGGTCGGGGCTCCCCCAGGAGCGGAGGGGAACTCCCGGGTGCCAGGCTGAAGCGCAGGTAGGACCCGTGCCCTGCCCTGTCCGGCTCTGCACGGAGGCGCTGAGGGCGCTGCGCGGGGCGGGCTCCCGCGGCGGGGGCGGCGGCGCCGTGAGGGCCGGGCCGTGAGGCGCGTCCCTCCCCTGGGCCGTTTCTCGGCGCGGCTGTTTAATAGCGGAGCCGCCCCCGGCCCGCCCCGTTGGAGCCGGCCCGTGCGGCACGGCGCGGCCGGGGCCGGGGCCGCTGCGGGCCATGGCGGGGGGCCATGGCGGGGGGGCGGCCGGCCGCGCCCGGCTGCTGGCCGTGCTGCTGGCCGGGCTGCTCGGCGGGGCGCGGGGCTTCGGCGACGAGGAGGAGCGGCGCTGCGACGCCATCCGCATCGCCATGTGCCAGAACCTGGGCTACAATGTCACCAAGATGCCCAACCTGGTGGGGCACGAGCTGCAGGCGGACGCGGAGCTGCAGCTCACCACCTTCACCCCGCTCATCCAGTACGGCTGCTCCAGCCAGCTCCAGGTGCGTCGGGGCTCTGCGGGGACCTGGGCGCGTGGGCGAGGTGGGGACGACACACGGCGGGGCCGTGCGGTCCCCGGGCCGGCTGCTGTCCCGCAGCACCCCATCCTCATCCCCTCCTGCTCGGATCAGTACTAACCCATCGGGAAAGTCGCGCCGCCTCGCTGTGACGCTCCTGGCTGGCTGGGAAGGGAGCGCGGCTCACGCTGGGCGGAGGGGCGGTGTCCCGGCGGTGTCCCGGCGGTGTCCCGGCGGTGTCCCGGCTGCCCGCGGCGAGGAGCGCCCGTCGCAGCGCGGTGCTCCCCTCCCGGCCGCTGGCGGAGGCTGCGGCGGCTCCCGGAGCTCTCCCGGCCGCTGCCCTCCGTCCCGGCCGTGCCCCAGGTGCCGCGCCCGACTCCGTGCGGAACGAGCGGGGCTGGCCGCGGGGAGCTGGGGCGGCTCGGGACCCCGCCGGCAGCTCCACCGCCAAAGTTTCTTTCCCAGGCGAATGGCAGGATCCCTGTCCTCCCCACGGGCATGGATATCCTCAAACAAAACCCAGCTTGTTTTTCGGGGCAGAGTTCCCGTGTCAGCACGCAATTCCTCTCACGGTGTCGCGTCGCTGAATTGCTATTATTCAAAAGACGAGAAAACTACAATATTTTATTACTGTAGTAAACGCATACGTGAACTTATTGTAAAATAAAAACCATTTTTCTGGGAGGATCGTGAACCGAAGTATTTCAATAAATGCTTTTTTCCTCCTATTTGTTTCTTAGCTGAAATATCCAGGCAATGCTCAGAACAAATATATGTATTTGTTTGAACCCCTTTAATTTGGTTTTCTGCTTTCTTAAATTGTGCCCTCGAGGTTTAAATCTGGCTAAATCCCACTTGCTTCATTGGAACTGATGGGCCAGGTTTACATGGAGCTAATCTAGGGAGTAAAATTTTCAGACTTTGGCTTTGGACCACATTTGAACTGAAAAAAGACAACATTGTTGAGTTTTTTCTCTCTTTTGTTTTTATTGTTTTTGGTTTATTTGTTTTACGCTGCTTCCTGGCCTTTTTTTAAGGCAAGGGACCAAATATTACTGCTAAAAAGGTAAAAAAAGAAAACTTTTTATATTGCAACCTGTTTCATTTTCCCTCAAAACACTTGTGATTTCTGTTTCTCTCTTCCAGTTCTTCCTGTGTTCAGTTTATGTGCCGATGTGCACAGAGAAGATTAACATCCCCATAGGTCCCTGTGGAGGCATGTGCCTCTCTGTCAAAAGAAGATGTGAACCTGTTTTAAAAGAATTTGGGTTTTTCTGGCCAGACGCCCTAAACTGCAGCAAATTCCCACCCCAGAATGATCACAACCACATGTGCATGGAGGGCCCAGGAGACGAAGAGGTTCCCCTTCACAGCAAGACCTCCTTGCAGCCTGGAGAAGAGTGCCACGGCATGGGATCCAACTCAGATCAGTACATTTGGGTGAAGAGAAGCTTGAGCTGCGTCCTGAAGTGCGGCTACGACGCTGGTCTGTACAGCAGGTCAGCCAAGGAATTCACAGATATCTGGATGGCCATATGGGCCAGTCTTTGCTTCATCTCGACTGCCTTCACAGTCCTGACCTTCCTGATTGATTCATCCAGATTTTCCTACCCGGAGCGGCCAATCATATTTTTGAGCATGTGCTACAATATTTATAGCATTGCTTATATTGTGAGGCTAACTGTGGGCCGGGAAAGGATATCCTGTGATTTTGAAGAGGCAGCAGAACCTGTTCTTATCCAAGAAGGTCTTAAGAACACAGGATGTGCGATAATTTTCTTGCTGATGTACTTTTTCGGGATGGCTAGCTCCATCTGGTGGGTTATTCTGACACTGACGTGGTTTCTGGCTGCGGGACTCAAGTGGGGCCACGAAGCAATCGAGATGCACAGCTCCTACTTCCACATCGCAGCCTGGGCCATCCCAGCCGTGAAGACCATTGTCATTTTGATTATGAGACTTGTGGATGCAGACGAGCTCACCGGCCTCTGCTATGTTGGGAACCAGAACCTGGATGCGCTGACAGGCTTCGTTGTGGCTCCGCTTTTTACCTACCTGGTCATCGGGACTTTATTCATTGCAGCGGGACTCGTGGCCTTATTTAAAATCAGGTCTAATCTCCAGAAAGATGGAACTAAAACTGACAAACTGGAAAGACTGATGGTCAAAATTGGGGTCTTTTCAGTGTTGTACACAGTCCCAGCAACGTGTGTCATTGCCTGTTATTTCTATGAAATCTCCAACTGGGCCATTTTCCGCTATTCGGCAGATAATTCCAATATGGCAGTGGAGATGCTCAAAATTTTCATGTCCCTTCTGGTGGGTATTACATCAGGTATGTGGATCTGGTCAGCCAAAACTCTGCACACGTGGCAGAAGTGCTCCAACAGACTGGTGAACTCAGGGAAAGTGAAGCGGGAGAAGAGAGCGGACGGTTGGGTGAAACCCGGGAAAGGGAACGAGACCGTGGTATGAGAAAAGGACAGCATCCCACTGCTCTGACTGCTCTCCTGTGAAGGACTGATCATGTGCAAACATTGCTGTGTAAATGTTGGGAATAGAGTAGGGGGATGGTTGCACAACCTGTCTGGGGATGGGAGGGAAAAAAAAAAGCCTTAAAGAATAAACAGCAAAAGGATCATGCTGCAGATACAATAGCCATAAACCATGCTGCCCAAAATAGCAGAGCCCAGGGAGGCTTTAAAAGCTGTGAAATAGCCAAACATGTTATCTTCCTTTTTTAAGTCTTGAACTCTTTAGAAATGGAGGTGCTGTAGCCCATAGCTGTGAGACGATGTTTTCCTTTCATTGCCTTACAGCTGATGGAGAACAGGCAGTCCAGGGCCAAATTCTGGGCTTAATTAGGGTCCAGTTACCAAGTTACCAGAAGATGGAGCAGGACCTCAGTCAGATGTCTTCTTTGTGAGTTCAGCATTGAGAACAAAGTGCTTGATGAGGATTCTGTCTTTATGCCCTGGGGAGTTCTGGTGTTCCAATACACTGCACAATTCAGTCAGGGATCATGTCCTGAAACAAATAGTAAATGGATTTTCCAGGTCTTACCCGTGATGAGTAGGATTTTGTGAGGTATTAGTGAGGATGACTTTTGAGTCATCTAATGGCCTAATAATAATTTTGACTCATTCTTTTTGCCATTTATAACCTGGTCTGAATGGAGAGTTGATTCTGCCTTGTGGGAATTTGAACCTCCCCGTGTTTTTTCCCACCTCAGTTATTCTGTGGTTCTATCAGTATTTATAAAAAAAATTTTACTCAAGGCTGTCCTCAGAAGTAGAGGAATCAGCTCAAGGTGGGATACTGTGTATGGTCTTCTGCATCTATTATTGTTATCCATTTCCTCCATTCCTGCACCTTAAGGTGCTCCTGCTATTTCTAGCAGACCACTTTATTCTGCTGCATTTATTAGCTTTAAAAAAAGTCTTAACTCTGTAGTGATCCTTCCTTCAGGAAAGAGAAAAATTAGTTGAAGGTACCTTCAGACAAGGCCATGTTTCTCCAAGCAAACATACTTGACTCTGGAGACTCATTGCATGAAGCAATTAAGTCTTAATGTATTTCATTCAGTGTGATGGTATCTCCTCTGTAGACGCCAGTCTGGGGAGAAGCAAAATGTTAAATTCCTTGGCAACCTCGTGTTCACACAGATCAGTTGTATAATTATGTGTGTCAGTTGCAATTAAAAGAACATTCTCAGCCCATGACATTGCAGTACAGCTGACTGCCTCACAACGATGCTTCAATTGCTCACTGACAGCTATGGAGACAGTTTTTAATGTATATTTACACACAGAATGTGAGCAGGCATTCAGTCCTCAGGAGCAACAAAGACCTTTCCAGTTTTTGTAAAGGGACACAAGAAATCCAACTTCTTGGTGAATAATGTTTGAAAGAAACCATTACATTTCTTATTATTTTATATGAGGAGGCATCAGCCTGTGGGGAGCTGAATGTAGTGTCAGGGGCTTGTGAGAAAGGTGATGCAAATACAAATATCCTAGAAGCACTTAGAGAACACTGTTATGATGCTCTATCTCTTTGAAACACATTTGATTTTATCTATGTGCCCCAAGCTTTTGCTTCCTTTGTTTGTGTGGAACCTGATCAGCTGCAAAGCATCCCCCTGGTGCCCCAGCTCCCATGATCTTCCAGGGCAGCTGAGAACAGATGCTGCTTTATTAAAGTACTTGCTTTCCACACAGGTGCCCATGTGCTTCCCAAACCACAGTTCACTCCAGCTCTGGAAGTGAGCGCTAATCCATCCCAGAAGCATGTATTGTTTCAATGTCAGTGTCGAAACATATGCTGGAGAACTTTTTTTTTCTTTTACAAACAAAATCCAGACCCCAAACAAACCCTAATGGCAGTCTTTGCGGTTGGGCTCCCTCTCCAGCAGAACAAGTGACAACTTGACACATTTTGTTCAAGACACACAAGCACTGTCTTGGCCAACACCACATTCCAGCTGGGCCTTTTCACCCTCTCCATAAAGTCTCTCGCTGTTAGTGTTGTGTTTGGATCTGGTTATTCCTTTGTGGACGAGGAGTTTTGCAAGTGTGAGATCTTCAGATGGCGGAGCTTCTCCATCATGCAGTCTTTCTGCTGGCACAGTGAGGAATGTAGAGTCAGCAGCTGGATGCTGGCTTCCAAGGAGCAAGGATGCAGTATGACCCTTTTTTGTAACCTACTCTTTGGCCGTGCCAAGGTGTCGTGTTCACTCAAGGTGTGCTTCAGTCTGAAAGGCTTTGGATACTCTCCTGGACAATAAGACCCATGTTTGAGTAGACTGATTCAATAAATGGCATTTTTAACCTTGCTATGTACACAGAAG